CGAACTAGAAGTGATACTGAAGTCCATTCCCAAACCACTCATCGTCCTTGGGGACTTTAACACCCACCACACATCATGGGGTTCACACTTTTGCGACTCATGCTCTCCTCATTTAATAGATCTCATTGATGAACTTGATCTATGTGTCCTTAACGACGGTAGCCCCACTAGACGAGTATACCCCACCCAGGACATAAGATCAGCAGTGGACCTTTCACTTTGCTCCCCTTGCTTGGCTCCTACCTTAACATGGAAGACTCTTTTGGAATCTTATAGCAGTGATCACTTTCCGATTATAATTTCTAAACCTAATTCGTCCATTCCAACCTACTCTCCTTCAACCCTGCGTAAATTCAACACTCGGAAGGCGGATTGGATCAACTTCTCTAAAGAAGTTGATGCCAATCTGAACGATATAAACTTACAATCTTCGCCATCAGAAATGTATACACATTTTATAAGTACTCTTATCTCATCAGCAAATAAGCACATCCCCACTATTCGACAGACAAACCAAAAGCTTCTATCCCCCCCATGGTGAGACTCGGACTGCTCCGAAATGATAAAGAGGAGGAAGCAAGCTGAAAAAAACTACAATATGGACATGTCCTCTGAGAATTTCTTCCACTACCAACAAATATGTGCTTCAGCGAAACGTTTGTTCAAAAAGAAAAAAAAGGAAGGATGGATTAGATATTGCGAAAACCTGTCATCAAACACAGATCCCTCTAAGGTATGGCGAAACTTTAAACGATTCCGCGGATCACTAGTTGGTCCCCCTCCATCATCCAACGACCCATCTAATTGGATAGAATTTTTTGGGGATAAGTTAGCTCCACCATTTGTACCCTCTATTGACCATTTTGAAAATGAGCAAATTCTGGCTCGTACTCGTGGTAGATTTGACTCTTCACTTTCATTAAATGAACTTAACTTTGCTCTCAAAAATCTAAGAGACACTTCACCAGGAGAAGATGCTATCCCATACACTTTCATCACACACCTAGGTTCAATCGCAAAATCTCACCGTCTCAACATATTCAATATGATAATCGAAACTGGTTATATACCACCGTCATGGAAGTCTCAGGTAGTTATTCCAATCTTAAAACCAGGAAAGGACCCCCAGGATGCTTCATCTTATAGACCCATCGCTCTATCATCCTCACTTTGTAAAATCCTGGAACACATAATAAAAAACAGGTTGGAATGGTTAGCAGAACTAAAGGCATATTGGCTAAAACACAGTTTGGTTTCCGTAAAGGCAAGGGGACACTAGACAGTCTAGCCATATTATCTACAGATATTAGACTTGCATTTAGCAAATTACCTGGTAGGTGCGTTTCTGGACATTTCGGCTGCCTATGATAGTGTACTTCTTCCGGTGCTCAGGCAGAAGCTTCTTCGATTGAGTTTTCCTGTGAGGTTAGTCCAATTCATATTTAATCTTTTATCTGGTAGGTCAGTGAAGGTTCAATTCCACAATAACCATCTTACACCTAGAACTGTATGGCGTGGCTTGCCTCAAGGTTTTGTCATGAGCCCATTATTATACAATCTTTACACTTATGACCTGGAGCTTTGTGTATCCAGCTTCACCAAAATACTGCAATATGCCGATGACATATGCCTCTATACATCCGACAAATTTTTAGAAGTCATTTCAACCAAAATGAATTCAGCCTTATATTACATGAACCAGTGGTTTGAAGTTCATGGCCTCTCACTCTCCATTCCCAAGAGTAGGACGGTAGTATTCTCAAGGAAGAGATTGATACCCTCTCCTGAAATCAAAATTGATAATCTGATAATTCCGAGTTCAGATCATGCTAAATTCCTGGGCATTATTCTCGATAATAAATTAACATGTTACTTACATCACTCAAAGGTGCGAAAAGATGATAAATATTCTAAAATCCCTCTCAGGGGTATGGTGGGGTTCCCACCCATCTTCTCAAAAACTTATCTACAATGCACTAATTCGCAGCCTTCTCGACTATGGATCTTTCTTGCTTGAGCCCTGTAACAAAGAATCTCTTGTGAAACTTGATAAAATACAACTTCAATGCCTTCGCATCATATTGGGAGCCATGAGGTCATCCCCTGGTATTGCACTCCAGGTCGAAGGGGTCGAACCTCCTTTAGACCTCAGACGCCAGTATTTATCTGACAGATTTACCTTTAAATGTATGCAGACAGAATCCCACCTACTCTGTTTACAACTTCAAGAGCTTTCGAATATGATTAATGTATCCTCATACTGGTCTAATAAGACTCTACCTAGACTAATCATTAGCTACAGAAAATTTACATCCTTCTCTTATCCTATAGTTAAATTTAATACTCACCCTCTTTTTCAAACGAGTTATGATGCCCTTATCCTGGTCCCAAATATTTATCTTAACTTTGGTATAGTCAAAAACAGTCCAACAGCACAAAGTGAGTTTTTAAATATCACCAATGAAGAGTGGTCAAACTGGGTACATATATTCACAGACGCCTCTAGGATCAGTCCTGATGGCAATGTAGGAGCAGCGGTTTGGATCCCCAAATTTAATGTTGTATTAAGTTTTAAATGCCCAAAAGAGGCTTCAACTTTCTCTGGAGAATCTGTAGCTATCTCGGAAGCCATTACTTTTATACTCTCCCACAGGATTAACAAATCCATTATATTCACAGACTCCAAAAGCTGCCTGGAAGCTCTCTTGAGCAATATGTTCAAGTCCAAAACTGTATCCCCTATCATCTTAGACATTAAAAAAAAAGGTAAATTTAAAAAATCAAAAAACCCGACTGCTTAATTATTCTTCAAATAAAAACTGAAAAGAAAAAAAACAAGTCCAGTAGTCTATAATTCTGTTAATAAGGAACAAAGCTACTTTAACAGTCGGGACCCATTAGATATTCAAGAATACATAATATTTTTCAACAGTGGGTCCCGACTGTTAAAGTAGCTTTGTTCCTTATTAACAGAATTATAGACTACTGGACTTGTTTTTTTTCTTTTCAGTTTTTATTTGAAGAATAATTAAGCAGTCGGGTTTTTGATTTTTTAAATTTACCTTTTTTATTTCACACTTTTTAGTTAGTATTTTAAGACGGTATACACCGTAGTCTTGTTACTTCAGTAAGGGAGTTAATATCGCGGGTATTATTAAGTACCTTGCGTCGGTCTAAAAGATTGATTTATTAAGACATATAAAGACTTTACCAGCGGGGTCAAGGCTACAGACAGTACATCATTACATTACATTACATTACATCTGTAATTGTCAAATTTGAATTCCTGTTAAATTCATGTTCAATAGCAGTACCATTACCACTATTGTTGGGCATATCATAATCTTTGATCATATTCATATGTTCTGCTTGATTAAACCCCATATGAAAAGTAGGTGAACGAACTTTAGGTTTCATGAAGACAGTTTTTTTATAAGAATTGTTATGTTGAGTTGCATTATTAATTGGTGTAGTTTTAAAATTAGAGGATGCCTTAGTTGGCTGGGATGTTAGTACTTCAGAATAAGGTTTATTTACAGAAGGATGTAATTTTGCTGCCTCAAAATAAGAAGTATTATCATTTGCCATAGTCACTTTTATACGCCTTTGTCTTTCATATTCAGGACAAATTCGTTTATTAGCAAAGTGGGAACCAGAACAATTACAACAATGTGCATCTTCTTCCTCAACTGAACATGTATCACCAGTATGATCCTGGCCACACTTAAAGCAGCGAGGTTTAGACCTGCACTGCAGTTTAGTGTGCCTAAAACGACAGCAGTTAAAACATTGGACTGTTGGATATATATAGCGGTCTACAACTAATGCATTATAACATAAAAATACACGTGAAGGAAGTACTTGGCCATCAAAGGTAATAACTACTGACTAGGTAGGTTTCCATGTTACAGTATTATCAATAAAAACTTTATGGTTAATACGTCTTATTTTGATTATCTCCCCGCAGCCTACAGGAAGAGTGATTTTTTCTTTTATTTCTTCAGGAGCCCAATCTTGTGGAACTCCACGCACAAGACCCATTCGGGTTAGGTTGAAAGAAGGAACAAAAGCTTTGTAATTATTATCATGTAATCTCGTATCACATAAGAAATGATTAGCAGCTTCAAATTTATTAAAAGCTAGGACAATTCGGTTCCTCCCAATTTTTTTACACTGCCATCTACTATGGATTGAAAATTTTTTTTTTTAAGAAAGTAACCAAAATTCACGGGGTGTAGGGTGGAAGAGTCATTAAAAGCTGACTGCTCACGCTGGACATGCACAATGAAAGGAGGAAAATCATTTTTGTCATAAAATTTACGACTATTCACAGGACTACTGACTTCCGGTTGAGGCTGATTTAAAATGCTATTCGCGTTTAATGGGGGAGCAGTATGCAGGGTCGTTTGTTTATTATCAGTAATTGCAGACTCGATAGAACTTTCAGATTCACAAAGACATCCTACATTCTTTCCCGCCATTTTGTTTTTCCGCTTTTTCTTATTACAATTTTTACATATTTTAACAGATTTACTCCTTTTCCTAGTCGGCGGAGCAGACCAATCTACAATACTATTGACTGTTTGGTCAGTATCTACACTAGATTCACCTTGGCTTATAACAGTAACATTATAAGCGACAGAGGGAACCGCAAATTGTCCTGTATTAGAAGCGGAACCCCCTAGGTCAGGGGGTTCGTTCATTGTAAATATTTAAACGACTTACCAGGCGATGAAGTTACTAAAAATACACTACACAAATATAAATATACAATTAAATATAACTACGCTACTCAACTGGTTGAAAAACAAATGAATTTTAATAAAATTAATTTCAAAAGGTATAAAACACGCCCGCCTACTTCAACGTTTCCCGCCTTTTTTCAATATTTATAATTATTCGTCAATATAAAATAAACAAATTAAAAACGAGGCTGTATGGGCTTTAGTTCTCCTTGCCTAACCTAAAAAGGGAGAATATTTAAAAAAAAAGATAGTAGTCTGTGGTACTGACCTCTTTCTTCTTTGTTTGTTTGTAACTAAAGTGAAAATTCAAAGTACAATTTCTTAGTTCAGACCAATCTACGTGACATTGGCGGAATTGTGATAAACGTATTCAAACCTTTTATTTAAGAAGAAAAAGAAAGTACAATTTCATACTACCTTTTCTAATGCTACGGAGTACATAAAGCTATTCTATTAACTTACGCAATTGTGTTATTATACAAAATAGTTGGGTCCAACTCGGAAAGATGACGGACTCTGATTCCTTCACGTCCCTAATGGCATTAGTAGACAATCACCTTTCAAAGACCACACTACAGACAAGCAACACAGTTGATAATCGATTTCCGAGGCTAAACCTGCCCACTTTGACTGGTGGGCCAAATGAAACTGTATCAGAAACACGCCTTTCTATGTCTCCAGGCCAGCGATTACCGTTTCCTACATTAAGTTTAACCGACAGCCCTATACAAGAAGTGCTGGCACAACAAGTAAACAACATGTTGATAGCTAAAGAAAGAAAAAAGAAACAGGAGGAAGAACTAGCTCAATTAGCCTTACAGAGACAGAAACTTGCAGAGGATGCAAAAAGACTAAAGGATGAAAATGAAGATGACTGCGTCATTGACTTGGTGAAAGCAGTGCAAGAATCAATGAATTTTAAGAGCCCCAGTCCAGTGACACATAAAGATGAGCAACTCAGTAGTAGTAGTTCATTTGAATCCCTTTTTGAGCCAAAGTTTATTGATTGTGATGGAGAACCAGAAAATGTGTTAACTCCTGAACCTTTGCTCCCTTGTAAAACTGATATGTTATATATCTTAAAGCAAAAATTTCGGAGAGGAAAATGCTCTCCATTTGGTAAAGTTCTGAGTTCTAGACTTAAGCCAGTAGCAGCACCATACTTGATGGATAAGATACCCTCTAACATTGTGCGTTTTGATTTTAGCTCAAAATCACCTTGTGATCTCATAAAGGAAAAACTACGAAAACCACAGGTTTCGCAAAGCCACACTTTTGACATTTTCAGTATTTTCCCTGATATGGAGAAATAATTAGATTTTAACAAAGGAAACTGTAAATAAATAGGTTATATCAAATATGAATGACTCTGTAATTTGTTATTGTAATGCAATAATGTAAATATAGTACTAGTTGAACAAGCCAATTAGACAAAAGGGTTGTGTATGAGGCCATCCTCACATGGGCAGACAGACAGGGCTTTGTTGGTTTTAATATCATCTACAGCACAAGGCTGTGTGTTTGACTGATAGCTTGAATCAGCTAGAACAAATATTTTTTTGGGAAGTGAATGTTCATTGTGAGAACATTAGTTTATACATGAAATAGATAGAAGGTATTTAAAAAAAAAAATATTTAATTTCTTTTTATTTCCACCTTTTGCCTCTTCAGTTGAAATTGAGTTATCCTTGCAGTAAAACTCCTGTTTTTTGGAGTTGATAAATTTAAATTAAATGCAAGCTGTGTCTCCTGCAGTAAATTATCAAACATCAATGATGCAATGGGAAGACCAGAAGTATCATATGCTCACTAGTGGTAACATAGTTGTCATTCACATAATGAGGAATCTACTACTTTGTAAACCTTAAAAATAATAAAATAAAATAATTCAGTATCAAACCTTAATTAAACATAGTGTATCGGCATCAGCTACATCAGATTTTTTTACGATAATTATTGTTTTAAATAGAAAGTAATGTCTGTTTTTCAAACATTTACACCTTAACTGTTTAACAAATCTTGTTAAACTTTAGTATTGAGATAGAAGTCTTGGAGAAGGGCTTTCATTTGTCACTAAATAAAGCAGATATACTCCAGGTCAGTTACTGACTACAAATTTGTCTTTACTGGTGTCCAAGAGCTGGCTCACTGTTTACAAAGTCAGTAGTTGTGACGTCACTGCTGTACTATCTCAAAATAACTTGCACCATGCCAGTAGTTCATTTGCATCGCACTTAACTAAAATTTGGAGTCTGTAACTGACTTTTGTATAACTGACTTAAAACTTAATTTAAAGGACAACGTATATATGGGAAACCAAATTATTATATACAGATGAAATGGCAGACACCATAAGATAATAAAAAAATTAAACAAAATTAATTTCGTTATCCTTAATTTATTAATAATTTACAACTGTACAAGTAATACTTATAAATTGAGTTTATAAAAGGAAACTAAATTTACACCATTTAAATTGTTATATATATAATTTGTTTTTTTTTTATGTAGTGGTGAGTAGAGTACTGGTTGTTAAAATTATGAAAACATACTACTAATTATTACAAACTTGCGTAATTTGGTAAAATTATCACTCATATAATCATGTAATTCGTTGGCACAAACTAATTAGTTTTTTGAACAGTGGTTATTATAGTACTTAACTTTAATAACAAGTTGTTTACAGCTTTACCAGCATAGTTTTTATTGATTAAGATCACATTGTTGTAGTACCTATAAGAATTTGTATTTGTAAATATTATTTTTGAATATTATTATTTTAAATGCAATAAATTTGCAAATGAAATTGTCACATATTATTTTTGGGACTATGATACTATGATGGTGAGCTATCAGGGTTGGTAGTGCCTCCCGAGGAACTGGTTTGGGTCGTGCAACTTCCTGGTGGCCTGGTACACGTCGCGCTCCTTATCTGGGTACTTGGTCGGCAAGTTCGGCGAGTGCAAATTCACTTTTGCTGCATACCTGATACAAAAATAAGTAAATAATGCAGTTGCAATCATCGTCCATATTCTAACACCTGGTTTTGTGTCCGATGGCATTGATAATGACCAATTTAATCTAAGTTTACCACTCTTGATACTATTCCAATAAATAGTTAAAGTGGATATGTTACATACATTCAAAGGTATTGAAGTGTATAAGCGTAAAATAGCACTTCATAAGAGGTCCGGGAGCTCTAACGGTGTTAACCACATTATTAGTCAGTAATTTTGTGAAATCAAAAAATATTGTCAGACCTGATGCCAGCAATGTCTATCTCATAGTGTCCACTGAGCACATACTCGTTGGTGATGGGTTGAGCTATGCCGTTCTTATCCAAATTCTGAACAAACCCGAGACACACCTGCAAGAGAGAAATATGAATTAGTACTTAATCTATAATAAATGTTAGTCAGTAACAGAGATTTTTGATAAAGTGACTTTTTGTAACAATATTTTTTCTTTATCTGCTAGAGCTTAAAGCAGACCAATTAGCTGATACGGAGAGATATAGTGGACCATGGCAGCTTTTAATGGCTTTTATCATGAAAATCTTTATTCTATTCTAATATTTCTTCTTGTGTGGTGAGTGACTCGCCTGCTTCTTAAAGGTGTACCCGTAGCTGGTGGTAGTGGTCTGGCCACAGTAGTCTCCGTCGCGGTAGATGGGCTCGTTACCCCACGACCACAAATCCATCTCATGGTCGTGGTCGGTCAGCAACAACTGCACGTATTGACGACGGATGCCCTCTTCGCGCTGACGAAGCAACGCCTCGCGACCGATGAATGGGATGTTTTTCTATACCAACAATTTTAACATTTTGTGTAACATATCCGAGATGCCTATGATGTATGCAACATGACATCAACTGTTAATAATTAATGATAATAATGTTTCCAACAATCAGTCAACACTCTTAATAAACCAATTAGCCTAGCCCTAAAGTAGGCACTGAAAGGCTTGTGTTATGGGATACTACTACAAGATTTTTATTAGTACAACAACCCTGTACCAACTTAACAACAAACCCTATAAGTTTGGCGTCATAGTAAAAAGATTTAGAGATAAGTACCTATATTCCATCGTTTCTTCTAATCTAAGCGGCACTACCATATCTTTGTTTGACAAACATCTAAAAAATTTTTTTATTTCAGATTAAGATAGTGGCACCAATAATCGACATTTCCTTCCGTGATGAATTAAAATAAGAGTAGACATCTGTACGAAGTACAGTGCATTCAACTCACATCATAGCGCGCGGTCATCAGTTTACTTATTAACCTAGTTTATTTTGTGCAATAATTTGAATTATAATTTATTTAAGTTAGTACACATTCGAACACCATTCAAACCGAGTGTTCTCATACCATTTACCATTTTTTACCAGTTTTAATTTATTGCGAAATTTATTCTTCTCTTTTTATTTTACATTAATTTGTGGGACTTACACCCTACAAATTTGGTCCTTCGAACCTTCGGAAAGGTGGGACCTGCCGCGCTGTGAACTTTGCACGTGACGTGTCAGTGACTATCTTTCTGTGTAACCAACCCTTGGAAATATCTTTTCCGAATCGAACTAACCAGTGAGTGACAGTGTAGCCAACCAGCAACTGGATTGTCATTCTTCACCATTTACCAGCTGTAACCAAGAGATTTTCAAGTAAGATCTTTCCTTTTTATATACCTTAAATACTCACCACTTACCAAAATGAGTACCAAAATGGAATTATTTGCTGCCCAAAAGGAGATCATGGAGAATATGAATAAGTTGTATATTAACTTTAAAAAAGAAGGTAAAGAACGTAATACTAGGGAAAGCATTCAACGTCGCTTGCAGACCTTGAAGAGCTTCTGGTCCGATTTTTCTTATAACCATGAAAAGTTGATAAGAATTTGTGATGAAACCGAAGATAACCAGTACTTCGAAGACGACGACTACAACAAGACCAGAAAATTTTATGAAGATGTGCAAAATTATTTATTGAAAAGCTTTGAAGACAAATTGTCACCATCACCACAAATTTTTTCATCTGCATTACCAAGAGTTGGAGAAACTCAACAACCACCAGTACCTTCTTCATTAACCAACTACAATAATGATAATCCTAGTACTTCCGCACTAGGCGTACCCCCACCAGTAACCACACCAAAACCAACTCTACCAAGATTCGTTTTCCATGATGTCGACGCACCAAGTAAAATAGACGAAATGATGCTAAAGCAACCAAGTAACTTTAAGGCGTTTATCGTACTATTTCGAATATTAATCTCAATCTTTTATCAGAAAAATGGGAATTCCAAGATGCTTTGAAGTCAATAGATACACGTTGGGCTGCCATAGATACTCTCCACTGGGAAATTGATAGTAACATAACATTAGAAGATAAAAAGTATGAGGAACTTTATTCCAGCTATGAGAGTGAATATTACGAAATAAAAAAGACCATAAACAGCAAAATGTGAAATGCTTGCCACAGAGAAAATTCCACACCACAAATGGATATACCAATTTTCAGCGGTAACTAACTACCAACAATGGATTTCCTTCGAAGATCTATTTTTAGAATCTATCCATAAGAATAAAACAATATCTCAAGCCCAAAAAATGCAGTTTTTGAAGAGTAAGCTGCGAGGAGAGGCCGAAAAGCCTTAACCAGAGATACAATAACAAAAAAATGATTTTAACTCACACATGCATATACTAATGTCCTTACCAATTATGAAACAACAAACCGCAACCAATATTCACGACACCACCAACGAATGTTGAATGCAATAAGAAACCTAGGTATAGATATTTCATCCTGGGACCCTGTTATTGTTTACCTCGTGTCACAAAAGCTTGATGCAGAAACTCATAGTGATTATACACTTCTGGACACATCTATTGGCCCACCTTGTATTTTCAGTTTCGTTTGGTCCTAGCTAAAATTTTATATTAGATCGAGCAAAAAGTTTTTATGTAGTTTTGAACCTGGCACATTCACAATTTCATTCAAGTCTTTTTTTGAATTTCGAACACAGAATTTAAAGAAACAAAAGACAATTTGGAGCCTGTTTGTTGATATCAAACAATCGAATACTAAGAAAACTTGGTTTTATTGGTTTACTTAAATTTAATTCTTGAAAAAGTGATTGATATCTTTGGTTTTGCAACAAACATTACTTATTCTTAACAATAAGGTGAGGTTCTATCAATAATCTATGGATACTTCACCTGAAGTCGCCGCCCAAGCTGTGGCACTTATTCAGGCCGGACACAGCCAAAGAAACGTGAGTGCTCAACTTAATTTAAGTCGATCTGCGGTCCGAAATGTTTATCGGAGGTACCTAGAGACTGGCGGCTTTGTTCGTCGCCAAGGAAGGCCACGATCTCGGGTCACAACTGAAAGGCAGGATCGATTCATCGTGACGACCAGCTTGAGAAATCGTCACCTTACCTCCATTGAGATACAAAAACAAATTCGCGACTTCCACGGAGTATCTGTGAGCGCTCGAACTGTTCGGAGAAGGTTAAAAGAACGCGATATGGTACCACAAGCCAGCTAATGGGCCCAAACTAACGCGAGCCCACCGAACAGCGCGCCTTCATTTCGCACGCAGTCATTTAAATTGGACACAGCAAGATTGGAGCCGTGTTCTCTTTTCTGATGAGTCTAAAATTGTGTTACATGGCAATGATGGAAGGAAGAAGGTCTACCGACGTAAGGGAGAGCGTTTCGCACAATGCTGCTTTGAAGAGAGGGTTGCTTATGGCGGTGGCTCATGGACTGTCTGGGGCGGTATATCCGCGAGCGGCAAAACTCAACTTGAGGTTGTTACAGGACCACGGCTGCCAACATTAAATGCTGAAAGGTACATTCGTGAGTGCTTAGAACCTCACGTGATACCATACGCGGACTATGTGGGCCCAAATTTCCTTTTTATGTATGATAATGCAAGAGCCCATGCGGCCGGCATCGTCAGGGAATATCTTCGGGATGTGAACATCACAGTTATGGACTGGCCAGCCAGAAGCCCAGACATGAACCCCATTGAGCACATGTGGGACGAGCTAAAAAGACGTTAGGGCTCGTCAGCCAGTTGCCCAGACGATGCAGGAGTTGAAAACTGCCATAGAAGAGGAATGGGAGATGATCCCTCAAAATTTCATAGAGCGGTTGATAAACTATGCCTAATCGTATGAGAGCTGTGGTAGATGCCCATGGAGGCAACACGCGTTATTAAATTAAACCTTTATTTGATAAAACCGGGTTTTTATTCAAAAATCAATTGCTTTTAACAAGGCGCATATCCGACTTGTTAGGCGTAGCTCCATGTCGTATAGTATTCTGAATTCAAATTTAAAACAATACGATCAAAAAAAGATGGTAAAATGTATCAGGTTTAAAACTGCATCAACAGTTTTTGTTCAATCTAGCAATCATATTTCGGTAGGGGCCATCGAAACCTAAACTCTAAGGTGGGCCAATAGATGTGTCCAGAAGTGTATTAACTCGTTACCAGAACCAAGAGATTTACCAACTAATGGACTTCTTATCCTATCTTGAAGGGAAATTCATTGCTTTGGAATCAGCCCGCCGTAAAAACGAGATAAACAGATATACCCCAAGCAAACAGTAACCATCAACCACATTTTAACCAGCCTATTACCAATGGCAACCAAGTTAAGAAGTCAAGAGATTTGAGTTTTAAAAAACCGAATGTTTACCAAAATAGATATGCTGAGAATAAACCATTTATTAACCACTCTACCAACAAGACATACCAAACACCAAACCAAACCTGTGTTGCATGTAAGGAAAACCATCTATTATTTCAATGTACAAAATTTCGTGAATCTAACCATCAAGAGAAAAAGAAATTAATTTCTCAACACAATATTTGCAAAAATTGCTTAATCAACCATAATGGAATCGAGTGCACATCGCAGAAAACGTGCCGTCATTGTAACCAAAAGCATAATTCATTATTGCACAATACCTACGAAAGTACGAGCTCTGTTCCAACCAGAACTACACTACGCAGCCTAACCATACAAAATTTGTGTCACACGTAGCCAAAGACTACAAATCGATGACAGATATATTATTAGCAACAGCTCAAATAAATGTCTTATCTGCTGACGGAACTTATAAAACCATGAGAGCCCTAATTGACCAAGGGTCTCAAACCTCACTTATGTCCGAAAATGCAGCACAACAACTTGGGATCTCTCGTCAACGCTGTAAAGGAGTAATCTTCGGGATAAGAGCGAAAGAAAATAGTTGCATTAATTTTGCGTTGCTTAATTACCATAACCATTTCATTCTTATATAACAACTTTACCATTAATATAGACGCATTTATAATGAAAAATTTAATTAAAAAATTACCAAACCATCTTGGCCATGTCTCGAAAACATACAACTCGCTGACCCGGAATTTAACCAAAGCGGTCCTGTCGACCTATTACTAGGAGCAGATGTTTATGCAGATATTATTTTAGAGGGAATAACTAAGGAAAACAAATCTCATCCTGTGGCCCAACAGACTCAGTTCGGTTGGATATTATGCGGTAATGTGAAGTCATATTACTGCAATGTCATTTTAAATAATTGCAACGACTTAAAGAAATTTTGGGAGATTGAAGATTTGACATCCGAACCAGAGAACTATTTTACAGAACATTTATATTGTATTGAGCAGTACCAAGCAGAAACTCAACGTTAACCAGATGGTCGTTACGTCGTTAGATTACCAATGAAACCAGATGTAAGGGAAAAATTAGGCGAATCTAAATTAAAAGCTATTGCTCAATTTCACCACTTAGAATTTTTTTTTTATAAAAATAACCAAATAGCAACTGATTATAAACCGTTCATGAATGAATATTTACATCTTGGCCACATGAAAAAGAGCCTTATTAACAAAGACGATGAGTACTTTTTACCTCATCATTGTATTATTCGCCCCGAGTCTACGACAACTGCAATCCGAGTCGTATTCAACGGATCAGCAAAATCGTCCACTGGCTATAGTGTCAATGACTTAATGTACAGTGGAGCAAATCTACAACATGACATCTTGAACATTATAATAAAATGGAGACAGTTTAAAATAGGTTATGTAGCGGATGCAGAAAAGATGTATTGACAGATTCTTATTAACGAATTAGACCAACATTACCAAAAAATTGTATGGAGAGATTCGCAAAATGAACGTTTATGCGAATACCAATTAATCACCGTTACCTATGGAACCAAGGCTGCACCACTTTTAGCACCGATGACCATGAAGCAGTTAGCTAAAGATGAAGCTCATAGGTACCCAGAAGCAACCAAAGCTTTAGAAAATAATTTATTTATGGACGATATTCTTCACGGGCAGCATTCAATAGAGACAGCTATCAAACTACAAAAAGAATTAATATCATTATTTAAAGCGGGCGGGTTTAACCTAAGAAAGTGGAAATCTAACGCACCAGAGTTAATGGAAAATCTGTCGAATGATAATCACCAGTCATTTGATTTTAAATACAAGGAGTCAACCAAAACTCTTGGGTTAAAATGGGTTCCACTAGATGATAAGTTTACGTTCGAGAGCAAAGTACTTTTTCCAGTTACCATTAAACATAAACTCTTATTTCAGTCAATTTGGCAACTTGACCTAGAATGGGATGACATCTTACCAATGAACATGAACCAAGATTGGAACCAATGTAAACAAGACTTGCAACTTATCAGCGAGATTCAAATACCAAGATGGTTGAACTGCAAAGAAAATGATAAAATAGAATTGCACGGGTTCTGCGATGCTTCAACCAAGGCTTACGCTTATGTGATTTATGCAAAATACAACAAAATCAAGGAAATTCTGTAGTAATGGTAGCAGCGAAGTCCAGAGTAGTGCCAATCAAAAAAGCTGTAACATTACCAAGATTAGAACTGTGTGCTGCACAATTAATGACCAAATTAATGAAATCCATACAAAACTGTCTCTCGGAACATCAATTAACCACATTTGGGTGGTCAGACTCAACAGCAGTCCTGGGGTGGATTAATGGTGACCCTAGCCGCTGGAAACCTTTCGTGGCCAACCGAGTTACCTAAATAACCGAGATTATACCACCAAACCATTGGAACTACGTAAAATCGGAGAAAAATCCTGCAGATTGTGCCAGCCGAGGTATAAAAGCTGTACAACTGATTAACCATTCTCTTTGATGGAACGGCCCTGATTGGCTCTTAACATATAATCACCAAACACTATGTCCTCTAAAAATCAAAGCAGGCACCTTAAAGAGACAAATAACCAAATTATCTATTCTTCCCATTTACCAAGAGGAAGAACCACCAAAATTACCAAATACTGAGACTAATCGCCAATACAACCAGCCAACAAGTTTACCAAATACTAATAATGATAAGCCGAAGAGACAAGTTAAACAATCGAGACGAGGAGTCAACTTAATAAGCCTGGCACTTATGTTTATGATGCTTCTTGTATCACCATCGCAAGGTAGCTACCATGTGTCGGACTTGAAAGATAACCAAACCATATATTTCGATAAAATGAGCAACACGAGATGGATTAGAGACGAGTGGAAAATTGACGTATTTTACGACATAAATGCATATTGGGAAGGCATGTTATTAATGAATAAATACACAGAGCACCTATAAAACTTATGTCAAAAAATACAAACCACTTCTCATTGCGAATTAATTTTGTTACACCTGAACCATGGATTGGAAGAGCTGCAACATTACAATAAAATTCTAAATAACCACGGACAATTACCAAGAAATCACACGTCGGCTCGATAGCTCATACTTTATTCAGTGTATTGGACGAAGAATTCGCCCAACAGTACCAAATAGATCTTACCATGCTCAAAAATAACCAAAAATATTTTAACCAATTATTGAAAAACCGAACCTCAATAATTGAATCCGAATATAACGTAATGCAAAGAATGGAAACAACAATTACAAAACAACACAAAGTATTCAACCAGCATTTAAACGCATTAGATAAATTAATCAATAATATTAAGAACAAAGTGCAAGAAAATACATATGCCAATGAGTTTGCTTTGTCTTCAATTACAGCCAACGGAATACTCATGAATCTAAAGGACATACAACAAATGTTATTGGACACCGTTACTGATATATTTTACGGAAAATTTAATATACATTTATTGCAACCAGAGCAATTGATAAACGAACTACAATTTAATTCAGGGCAAATATCGAAAGATTAATCGTTAACAATCGATAATATACAGAAAGATTTACCAAAAATTTATAGCAACTTTTTTATTTTTGAAATAAAATTGCCCATAGTTGGTATACAAAACTTTGAAATTTATAGATTGATACCAATTCCTATAGAAAACGGCGATAAGATGATAAGAGTTGTACCAATAGCGGATCTTTTGGCCATAAATATTCAAAAAGACTTACAAGTACGTTTTTCCGAACTACAATTACAGCAATGTAGTCATTACGACTCAGATATGTTGCTATGTCCACACCAAATACCAATTTCAATAAATAAAATTAACCAGGATTATTGTACCAAAGAAAATGAATCACAATTATGTAAAACAGAAAGCATAAAGTGCAAAAACCATTGCGTACAACTTACAAAAATAAATAATTACTTATATTCCTGTTGCGGTCAGTGCTCCGAGTAGGAGGCTAGATGGCGCTGTCGCCACGGAAACATCGTCTGGGTATATGCACTGCTGCTCCGTCTCACAGTGGAAATAATAACCAGTGTTTTGTTATAAGTGACCCATATGATATTGACCACAGTGAACCAGTGTATGCTAGAGTGAATAGAGTGAGACTACCTAATTCTTTTAATTTCAGTGTACAGTGTAGTGTCTATTCCACAATAGAGACTATAGTTAAATGAATTTTCTTAAGTTACAATATGTTCTTAAGTTATAATTATGTTTCCTTTACCATGTAAATGCACCAACTAGTTTATTGTTTTTTCACCTTGTAGCACCACCAACAATGCACCGCATTTATTTTATTTTCCTTTCTCTCCCTCGGGAATATGTACGAAGTACAGTGCATTCAACTCACATCATAGCGCGCGGTCATCAATTTACTTATTGACCCAGTTTATTTTGTGCAATAATTTGAATTATAATTTATTTAAGTTAGTACACATTCGAACACCATTCAAATCGAGTGTGCTCATACCATTACCATTAACCATTTTTTACCAGCTTTAAAATATTGCCAAATTTATTCTTCTCTTTTTATTTTACATTAATTTGTGGGACTTACACCGTACAACATCCGATCACTAAACATAAACCGAGCGTGTCACCGAGCCCACTCTTATTTTCATCGCTCACAGAAAAAATGTCGATCGCTGGCTCCTGTCCGTCATCGGTGTCAGTACCTTATATTCTTTTGTATAAAAGTTAATCAATCCATTTGTAAGTCAAGCCATATTTATAATGATGTGAGGTGATGATAATACTGCCTGGGTGGATGGTGTATACATACGTGGAACTTGACGCGCCAGGTACGTCCGCACTCGAGCGGTGTGGTCATGGTGTCCAGGTCCTGCCCCCAAAAGGCAAAGAACTTCTCCACTCGCAGAGCGCGCGACGCGTAGTACCCCACGTGGCTGATGCCGTACTTTTCTCCTGCCGCCATCAGGCGCTGGTACACGTGCAGAGCGAACTAAACAACATAACGACTGTGTCAATATTGTTGCATGATCATCAGAGCGACCCGTAGTAACCCACGTGACTGTTGCCGTACTTCTCTCCCGCCAAGGGCAGATCCAGCTTTGGCGCCAGGGGGGGTCATATAGTCGTGGTATATTAAATATTGGAAGTACTTAAATAAAATCCCCTGGGTTTGGTCCATCTGTACCCAGCCCAGGGGGGGGTCATGACCCCCCCCCCCCTGGATCCGCCCTTGTCTCCCGCCGCCATCAGATGCTGTTACACGTGCAGCGCGAACTAAAAATCATTACGACTGTGTCAATATCATCGCACGATCATCAGCGCGACCCGTAGTAACTAGGGTTGCAACGATATATCGGAATATCGATAATATCGAGACCAAAATATCGATATTTAAAATTCTCTGATATCGATAATATCGATATCGGAAATTCTAAAATATCGATATTTCGTAGACTAAATTTGAACACAATAATATCAATTAATTTAGATAGTCATATATCTAAATTGAATAATATCGAAATAACTATTACTTTGAAATCGCAAGAGCTTATAGATATATTAAAAAAATCTTGAACCCCAAGAAATATACTAAACTGGTGTGGATTCTGGCATAATTCTCTAAACCTAAAATTAAATTAGACAACAGTGTATCCTTGTCATTATCTATACAGAATGAAAAGGAGAGACTGATGTTACATTTAGTTTTAAGTTTAGATAATCATGCCAGAATCGACACCAACGTATATAGGTATAATCGTATACCTAATGGTAACTCATGCACTTAAATAAAATCCTTGCCTCTCTTTCTAGATAATTGTCAACTACTGATTAATTGAAATTTAATATCATTGTAATATAACACAAAATAAAATTAAGAATCTTATACAAATCGTAATTTTTTTAAGCTCACCAAGTCAAGAAAGTAAGATAGGTATAGTAATTTTCGAAGCTTTGGGCTTACCCTATTCTGAAGCCATGGGCACGCCCCTGATGTGTGGGAGACTAAGCAATTTGCGTATTTGATGTGCGCTAAAAAACCGACATAGCTTGGAAAAACACGAATGTAGTGAAAACTTAGCGAAGGCATTCGCAAATGTCGTCCCACATATGCGGGTTGGCGCATTCGTGCTAACGAATGTGAGTGATCTGATCAGGATAATAATTTTAATTTTTTTGGTTTCCTGTCGTGGCTGGAACACAAACCGTGCTAGCCACTTCTGCGGTTTCTTGTTTAGTTCGTGTTGCCGGTGCAAAGATTCTTAACACGTGCAACGCGAACTAAATGATATTACGATTGTCATTTTCATCGAACAATCAGCAAGAGCACGGACCATACAGATCGCGCCTGCCTTGGGAGGATTGGTGGATGCTAAGGATTGTAGCCGGGACCGATGGCGTAATGTGCCTTTCGAAGCACGAAAGAGATTGAGACAGTTAATTTTTAGTTTTTTCAATACAATTATGTTCTTTATCACTACCACGAATTAATAAATTAAAATAACCAAGATTTGTTATGAAATAGGAAAAAGGTATATATTGTATAGCGAAGGGTATTATTTTTTTTTTATTATAACTGTGAACGGAATAGCTGTTGCATTAAAGAAAACATCGAACACTTAATAACTCATAACTGCGAGGACTATGATAGCGACAAGTAGTATAAAGCATTGATGATTGTTTCTATACACCGTGAATTTTGAGTTATCTAAGAAACTAGAAAATCGTGTTATGTACAGCACGTATCCCAGCTCGCCGGTGTGTGTGAAGTTCATAGCGCGTACTCCGTTGGCGAGTTCCACGTCCATCTCCAGGCTATTTCTATTGCCAAGTGTCAGATATTTGTGTGTCAATGTGTGATGTTGTGTATACCTCGTTGGGTATGTATAGCACGTATCCCAGCTCGCCGGTGTGCGTGAGGTTCATGGCGCGCACTCCGTTGGCGAGCCCGACGTCAATCTCCTTGCACGTGAAGAAGGGGAAGTTGCTCGGAGCCAGATCGGTGTCCGTCAGCTCGGCCAGTAGCGACCTCGTGAACGGGCCCATAACGCACACCGCAGTGTACAGCGCCGTCACGTCAGATAACGTCACACCCCCGTTGCCCCTGCCCCCGTTACTGATTCCCCACGTCGCTAGATGGCGCGAAAGCCACACTTTGCAGCGCGTCTGCTGGATCGTCGGCGCTATCATCATGTAACTGCGACACACATACATCTTTACATAGAAAAATAATCTATACATAAATTAATATTTATAACACCAATTAGTCTAGCCCCAAAGAAAGCAATGTAAGGCTTGTCTTGTGGGATACTAAGGTATAGAATTATAAAATTCAAAATCAATATCATTTATTAGTCTAGGCTGTTACAAGCACTTGTGATGGTCGAAAAGCTACGCCATCGATTCGCAAATCGCCGGCGGGAGATCTTGTACTGAGAAAAACCAGCAAGAATCTTAGCAAGTGCTTCTTTTTCTCCCTGTATATTCAAGTCGTCACATCTTGCACGTGAAAAAGGGGACGTTACTCGACGCCATGTCGGTGTCCGTCTACTCGGACAGTAGCGACCTCGTGAAGGAGCCTATAACGTACACCGCAACCCCCCACAACAACGGCTAACTAGAGCCGAGGTTCGATTCTCAGAGACGCACTCTAGTTGAGCCGACCCCCTCAGGTTCGAGTGGTCTAGAGGCGGAGTCAGACGTCAGACTCCCCCCGTGAAGAGATGCCATCTTCCTGGAATACCTCTAGAGGCACTCGCAAATTCTCGGCTTGAGGTCCTTTTAGGATCTCGCCGTCCCCAAACTTGGTGACGCTGTAAAGGTCATCTGCGACCAACAGCATACACATTAAAAAAAACGTATACCGCAATGCACAGCGCCGCCACGTCGGATAACGTCACGCCCCCGCTACCCCCTCCCCCTTTACTGATCCCCCACACCTTGCAATGCGTCTGCTGCATCATTGGCGCTATCATCATGTAACTGCGACACACATACATTAATTTTTTGTGACCTTTGTTGTGTACAATAAAGATTATCTTTTATTATTATACAAATGTACATAGCATAAAACAGTCGCTTCCATTGTATGTACGCTTAGATCTTTTAAGCTACGCAACGGATTTTAATGCAGTTTCCAGGAATAATGATTCAAGAGGAATGTACATATGTAGATGTAAATAGTGGCTGCCGGCGACTACATTAATTAAGTTAGTTTAAGTTTAGTTTTTTTGTAAACTCTCAGGAACCTAGCTTTATTCCCTAATAATAAGTATAATGTAATATATATGTACCAGGTAAAAAATTAAATTTGTGCCTAATTTTATCTAAATTCGCTCAGCCGTTTTTGCGAGACTGAGTAAGAAACAACAGACTTTTACGTTTTTAATATTAGAAGGAAGCAATGAGGTATGGGCATTGTCAGACAAATATCTGCTTTGAGCAAAAAATATAACTTTAAGACACAGTAGTTAATATTTGACAATATTCTGGCCGATGCACATAGCATATTTTTAAGGAACCTCTGTTTACCGTGTCATTGCTAAGATTCACATAGCACCCTTTGTATTCCAAAATTCGGATAGTATACTACTTGTCATAATTATGAAAATGTCGATATCTCCAAAAAGTGCACATAGCAGATATTGGCTTGCCAGAATTGACGTATAAAAACAAGTAAGACTCCTGTAGTGTACTTTTATAATTGTAGCTACTTATAAACGTTGTTAATTTAAAACTGTATATTTTTGTAAAGCTAAATTTATATGTATTCAAACCTTTATCTATATATATAAAATCTATATTAATAATAATGTAAATATCTAAATAGCTGTTAGTTTAGGGACACTTACCTCAAATTCAACACTTTGACATTTCAATTAAAGCTCGCACGAAAGACAACTATTTAAAATTTTCGCACAAAACAAAATTTACGCGTGTGCGTAATTTTGCTTCCGACGCTTTTTGAGCGCGATTGTGAGTCTCCTTTTTTATGTTAAAGTGAGGCCTGTTGGTAAACGGCCACCATAACCATAGACGCTTGTGATACAGAAACTATCAATCGCGCCGTTGCCTATCCCGACCCAATCCCCTACCCTGTGGAGCCGCCAACAAAAGGTAGTGTTATTTTACTGGGGTGGTGGAGGTTACTTCCCCAGCCGGGCGGTCCAATTCGATCGGATAATTCGCTAAGCCCTACCTCGCTCTACTCGTTTTTATACGTCAATGTTTGTGAATAAAGATATACTGACTGGTTGTGCGCGAGTCTGGCAAGACTGCAGTCGTTCTCGTAGCCGCCGCGCTGGTTCTGCATGCCGGTGTGGATGATGCTGCCCACTGGCACGTCCACGTCGTTCGAGCACACGTATTGAAGGAAATCCACGACCTCGCCGCCCGGGGACTGACAAACCAACAAGAAATTAGAAATGATGGAATAGAATACAAACTGCGCTAAAAAGTAGCTCCACGCAAACTATAATCGTGGGTAGGGCGAAAATCAAGGGAGGTGTTTACATGTAGGAAGGATAGGGTACCTGCAGATCTATCTTGGTGAAGGAGGAGTAGCCCGCGATGCCGACTGCCTCTCGGCAGGTCCAGTACTCGAGCTGCATGGTCTCGAACCAGTGCGACTTGCCGCAGTGTTCGTTATAGTGTAGTGTGGAAGTGGATAGGGTAAGGTACCTGCAGATCTATCTTGGTGAAGGAGGAGTAGTCCGCGATGCCGACAGCCTCGCGGCAGGCCCAGTACTCGCGCTGCACGGTCTCGAACCAGTGCGGCTTGCCGAACGTCTTCGTCGACGCGATCTTGAACGGGCGTGGCGACTGAGACGCCACCGTACTCTTGTCTGTCACACACACATAATAATCATTAAACTGCTTTATATGTCTGTAAAATTTTAGATGAGAAAATACACTTAACACAAATAACACAGGCACAAGTTGCGCCCCGTGTTATATATAGTCTGTGTAGTGTGTGTGACTCACCGACGGGTTCGAACCAGGTGGGTCGCTCGTAGCCCATGACCTGTCCGAACACGGCGCCGTTGTCGCGCAACGTGGGGTAAAGCGGTGACAGGCGCAAGTTGCGCCCTGTCGAGAACTCGTGGAACGGATACGGCATACCGTAGTGCACACCTGTACCACACAAAAATATAATCAGTTTAACAGTTACTTATGAAAGTCGAAAATATGAAACTTCATGGGCAATCAATCAAATCGGAAAAGCCAAAATAACCATGATAGCGAGTCGCTTCTATAAGAAGACTTGTTGATTTTACTGAGCCTTAATTAAAATAGTATCTAAATTATATAAAATCTTTTATGGTTTTTGTTACATCCACATGATCTAACATTATTCATTCATACTTGCATAACATGTTATTATATAATAAAGTCGGGACACAACGTAGCAGTGTGAATAGTGGGTAGGAGAACTGACCAGGTCCTTCAAGAAGCGCTTGTTGTTGTACAGCGCCAGGAAGCGAGTGAGCTGCAGCTCGTAGTAGCCGCGCGGGGATTGGCCCCCTAGTAGTGATCGTGAGAAGTGTGTGTGCAGGTGGAGTACTGACCGGGCACCTATCGCACATGGTCCCACAGGAACCGCTTGCTGTTATGCAGCGCCAGGAAGTGGTTGAGCTGCAGCTCGTAGTAGTCGCGCAGGGATTGGCCTCCTTGTAGTGTTCGTGAGTAGAATGTACGCAGGTGGAGTACTGACCGGGCACCTCTCGCACGCGGTCCCTCAGGAAGCGCTTGTTGTTGTGCAGCGCCAGGAAGCGAGTGAGCTGCAGCTCGCAGTAGTCGCGCAGGGATTGGCCTCCTAGTAGTGTTCGTGAGTAGAATGTATGCAGGTGGAGTACTGACCAGGCCCCGCTCGCACGCGGTCCCTCAGGAAGCGCTTGTTGTTGTGCAGTGCCAGAAATCGGTTGAGTTGCAGCTCGTAGTAGTCGCGCAGAGATTGGCCTCCTAGTAGTGTTCGTGAGTAGAGTGTGTGCAGGTGGAGTACTGACCGGGCACCTCTCGCACGCGGTCCCTCAGGAAGCGCTTGTTGTTGTGCAGCGCCAGGAAGCGAGTGAGCTGCAGCTCACAGTAGTCGCGCAGGGATTGGCCTCCTAGTAGTGTTCGTGAGTAGAATGTATGCAGGTGGAGTACTGACCAGGCCCCGCTCGCACGCGGTCCCTCAGGAAGCGCTTGTTGTTGTGCAGTGCCAGAAAGCGGTTGAGTTGCAGCTCGTAGTAGACGCGCAGAGATTGGCCTCCTAGTAGTGTTCGTGAGTAGAGTGTGTGCAGGTGGAGTACTGACCGGGCACCTCTCGCACGCGGTCCCTCAGGAAGCGCTTGTTGTTGTGCAGCGCTAGAAAGCGGTTGAGTTGTAGCTCGTAGTAGTCGCGTGGGGACTGTCCGGCCAGCATTTCGTCCGCGGTGGCCTCCGCGACGCCGCCCGCCGCGCTGATGCCAACCGTTTTCATGCCCGCCGCCACGTGGTAGTTCAACATCTCACCACGAAAACAAACAACAACAACCACACTCACATTCCTGTTCGTAAGGTTAGCAATAATGCGAAGGTGTCAGTCAGTGAAACCCCGCGCGCATCTAAATTTTGCTTACTGTACTAATTTCACAGCCGCCAATAAGTTTAAATAGCTTTATACCGAGTGTCAAGAACGTATACGTAGACGTCAACTGTGATCCCAGTTGGTATATATCAGTAAAATTAGGCCACATGTAGAGGGCTCCTTAAGAACTATTACTGCTTATAATTTTCATTTTAAGTAGGCTTTTAATACCTCATGCGATAGATCTATGTTTACAACGGTGTCGATTCTGGTATGATTCTCTAAACCTTAAATTAAATTTGACAACAGTGTTTGTCATTCTCTATATATAATGAAAAGGTGAGACTAATTTTAAATTAAGTTTTAAGTTAAGAGTCTTATGCCAGAATTGACGCCAATGGTGATATAATTTGTTAGTTTACGATCACTTCTTACTAATCTGTTGTCACTATGGGAAACTTAGTACGGAGCCTACCTAAGATGCTGTAGATGCAATATTAGCAAGAACTGTTTCATTTCTTATAGAAGATTAAGTAAAAATTACGTCAATATAAAATAAAAACATTACTTAAAGTTATTTCATTTTACAAAATTAAAGATGACCTTAACAGCTGATGCTCATTTTTGAATCGGGCGTTATACAGTAAAAGTTAGTTTGAGTCACATTATTTAACAAATACTACCAAAACAATATAGTTTACGATAAATAAGAAAATAATTCTCATAATTTATAATACTGCAAGAATTCTTAATTTTTTTATACATATCATCATCAGTCTATTCATCATCATAGTCCGCTGCTGGGCCACAGGGCTTCCCTATGGACTAAACAAATGACACATTTTTTATGCATCTGAAAGTTAACGATAACTTTCAAGTTTGAAGAATAAACACACAAGTAGCAAGTAGGAATACTGAGAGGTAGCTGTTTCTAAGCATAACAGACGTGTATTATTAAGTTATGACATGGTGTCGATTCTAGTATGATTCTCTAAACCTAAACTTAAATTTGACAGCAGTATATCTTTGTTATTCTCTTTACAGAATGAAAAGAAGAGACTGATGTTAAATTTAGTTTTAAGTTTAGAGAATCACGCCAGAGTTGGCACCTATGCTTATTCTCAAATAAAGCAAGTGTTAATTTTAAAGGTATCTAAAGAAATTAATTACTAAAACAACGGTCACTGACAGATCCAAAGGGGTACAGAAAAATATTTTTGATTTAAACTTGTTTACGCATTTACATATCTACAAAAATAGAGTCGAAGTGTTATTAGCGCCGCTGGTGAGTAGCTTGAGTGTTGAGTGACGTCTGTGCAACATTGGTAGAAGCTGTGCTATATTCAATACAGTAGCTCCTGTTTGTATTTGCGCCGTGGCATATATGGCGTGTTCGTTAATGTAGCTTGGCTCGCTAGGTTCGCTGGACTCGTTGGAAGGCTGCAAGTATGAAGGAGTGGAGTGTTGTGCGCGCGGAACGTTCGATGTTCACGAATTTAGCCTACACAGCGCTGAACCCGCGACATCAAACGGACCGCGCGCACCGTCTGTCTCTCTTCCTCGTAGCACTCATGTCACGACAATACACCACACAAGAATCACAGTGCGGCCAACGAAAGTGCAATCCTGACAGTTCGTATCGGTTCCTTAAGCTATCAGAATAAAGTACATTTTCGAGCTCGTAAAAAAGAGATTCTAATAATAAACTTCAAACTAAACAAATGCAAATTATAAAAATTACTATTTATGCCATATTGACATATAAAAATAATACAATTAAAAGGGTTGGACATGAATTATCACCATTTTGTTCTCATGACTACACAAAACTTAGACTTATATGACACACTTACTTTTCATACAATTTGAAGCACTAGCGTTGTCTACTTAAATCTAGCTCTATATGTGCAGCACATGGAACTGTACCCTTAGCACGAACATTATCGATTTCGAATAGTTTAATTCGATCTATTTTATAAGTAAAATATGTACTGATTTTTAGTTCTCGTTATGTCCGTTGTGGCGCTGCTGTTCAAGTTTCCACACAAAATTTGCTCGCAAACGTAACGAATTCGATATTGGTACGTGCTAAGGGTACTGGTCCCAGTCCTCGGGCACGCACCAGTCTGATACGCACTGTACTGCAGGTGAGCACGCATGCTGTGTATGAGCACATTATAGTCACCTCGGGCGCCTCGCCGACGATCCACTTGCAGTCGGGGGAGAAAGCCTCCAGCCCGTTGCAGAGGCGGTGCAGTGCGGCCTGCGCCAGCGCCGGCACGCGCGTTAGCAGCTGCTGCAGCAGCACGTGGAACTGATCCCAGTCCTCAGGCACGCATCGGTCCGATACGCTCTTTACTGCTCGCACGCACACCCATTGATATATTTAGTTTTTCATATAAAAACGAGTGTGCTTATGACCACACGATAAAAGTGAAACTTCTTTAGCTCCATCTGTACAACCCGTGCGCATTAAAATGGCATTTTATTTATTATTGGTTTTTGTTGACTTTTTGTTATAATTGTTACGTTTTGACGTTTTCATCAGTGTTGTGTTTGTTTTTCCACAAAGATGGTGGGAAAAACTATACATAGTAAAGAAAGAGCCCTTATACTGAAGGTATTGGCTTTTTTTGAACGCGAGAAAGAAGTCAGCCATTTTGTAATTCCTGTGGACCCTACAAAAAGTATTCATGAAGCTCGTGAACATGAAAAAATCAATAAAAAGTTTTTGATTCCGGTGGATCAACCAATAAATAGAACTTGTGCGGCTACTGGTATATCCAAACGAACATTGATGCGTATAAAACAACAAGTAAAACCAGTAGTGTCATCTATTTCATCAGTGCCGAGTACTTAAACGTCTACCCCAATACCCGGACCATCAACACCTGGCAAAAAGCGAAAACAGAGTAAAAAAAAAATAATCTAGATAATTTCGACTTAATCGCTCTGAGAAACTTGGTAAACAGTTTTCACACAGTACGAAAAGAAGTCCCAACGCTTAAGAAAATATTAGCCGCTGCCAAAAAGGACCTGCATTTTCCAGGTACGTTTGTGTCTTTTTTATATATCTTTAGTTAGCGAGTGTTATCCTACTTATATTATAAATACGCAAGTTTGTGTGTCTTTATTACCTCTTTTTAATTTTGGATGGGAAATCATCTTATGTGAAGAGATGATTACCACAAATTATTTATCATCAACACCAACGAGTAAATGATAAATTTATAAATATACTTACCTACTTTTGTTTTTTTTTCAGGTGAAAAAACTACATTGCGGATTATTTTGAAGAACCAATTGGGGTACAAATTTAAGAAATGCAAGAATGCCCGATTAGTTTTGATACAAAAGCCCGATATCGCTGCTTGGAGGGCTCGCTACCTGCGGCGAATGAAAGAAAATAATGACCTCGGAGCGGACAAAAAACCGGTGACGTATTTAGACGAGACGTGGATACATTCCCACTACACTGTGAGAAAATGCTGGCAAAATAGCAGCGATACCAGTATAAAAAAAATAGCAATCCTGGTCAACGCTGGATTCTCGTCCATGCGGGTGGTGAAAGCGGTTTTACCCCTGGGGCCGAGTTACTTTACAAATGCAAAAGTAAGACAGGCGATTATCACGATGAAATGGACACCAAAAATTTTGTCAAGTGGCTTAACGAAAAATTGTTGCCGAACTTGCCTCCAAACGGCATAGTTGTGATTGATAACGCGCCGTACCACTCAACGCAATCTGAAAAAATACCATGCCAGTCGTCATTGAAACACGAGATGCAAAGCTGGTTAACCAAAAATAATATAAATTTTGATGTGAGAATGACAAAACCAGAACTATACCAAATAATAAAAGTAAATAAACCAGAAAAAAAATATGTGGTAGACGAATTATTGAGAGAGCATGGCCACGAAGTCGTACGTCTGCCGCCCTACCACTGTGATTTAAACCCAATTGAATACATCTGGAATTTGGTGAAACAAAGGGTGGCAGACAAAAATATCGATCAGTCAGAAAGACAAATAGAACAATTGACAAGAGAATCAATTCAATCAATAACTGCTGCAGACTGGAGAAAAGAGGTGAACCATGTTCGGAGACTGGAGGAAGAATATTGGGTTAAAGATCGACTCCAAGAAATAAATGAAAGAGAATTTATTATTTCACTTGGAGGTGAAGAAAGCTCTGACAGCGAAACTGAGGAAGACGAAAGTGACAGCTCTATTATGTCTGGCATAGAAGAGTTAGGTGACGATTAATTATTATAATAAATAAATGTGTATAACATTCTTTTTTTGTTTTATTTTTCTAGCTCTGTGATTGAGTAACAAACATCCATCCAAGTTTTCCCATTTATTAAGATAATAATAAATGTCAATATGAATATGGAATCTTATTACAATATCGATATTCACAGTAATAGTAAATACTAAACTAATTCATCTATACACATTATAAAAATAATGAATGGGGCTTTCTCCCTATTGGTTATGCTCGTGTACTTTCTTAGCTCAAGTAGTAAAGAGCTAACATCAATAACAATATTATGTCCTCTTTGAATTTGGCTGTTATCTCTTTTGTAATAATCCTTTTCGAGAATTATGCTTGCGAGAATAATATAATCACATTCAAGCCCAAACAAATAAATATATATGGCAAGAACAAAATTGTGCCTAAATAGTTTATTGTCACGTTTAAAGCATCGCAAAGTATGTTGTGAAAAACTACTTAGCGCAAAATAAATGTCGCATTTCAAAAAAACTTAAACAAAATTCAAAACTTTTTTGCACTCACTACTTTAAACGTCATGCATTAGAACCAGGTGCCATGTTAGTACGCACGGGTTGTATGTATATACATGTATGTACATATACATATTTCATTTAATAGCCATAAGAGAAAGAGAGAAAGAAAATGTGCGCGCGCACTGCTTTCTCTTTCTTATATCCCTCACTCAACTCCCGCTCGCCTCACCCGAACACTCTTTTCGTGTTCCCCCCCCCCCCCCCCCAAGTCAAGCGTCCCTAAAAAAGTTTCACTTCAAAAAGGTGACAAACGAGCGCATGCAACGCACAAGCCGCAACTGGCGAAGGAGCGGTGCCGCATGGAAGCGCGGATGATCTTGCGGAAACCACGCGGATTGTTTGTGGCTAGCAGTATTTTTAGTTTCCCCAAAATAAAGTTCAAAACAATAACCCGCATTTGTAGTGTCATGCGTAGCCTCTCTGAATCTGAAAAAATTGACAACCGCGGGTCCGCGCGGCCTCCACGTGCACCGCACTTGATGTCCGCTCACCCGCGCGTTACGCGGATGCCAATACGTTGTCATACCTATATGCCTTTACAAATTAACATCCACGCTACCGTCATCCGCCGCGGTTCGCAGCTCGTGCATTGTAGCACTAAATGCCTTTACAAGCTTATAACAAAATCACTGTGTTTATGTGTGCCTGTATTACACTCACTGTGCTCGTCATGCACGGGCTTGGCCAGCGGCTCGAATCCGCCTGCCAGTATGCAGCCGTCGCGCTCGCGCAAGTAGATGTAACCGTCCGGGTCGCGTACCACTGCGCACACAAAACATCAAGGTCGAAATTTGAAATTTTAAAAATAATTTTTATTTTTACTCTAAAAACCTACATAAATATACAACAAAATAAAGCCCATGCTTTAGTAACAAGAACTCTTTTGTTAGTAGATTTAAATTTATTGACGCTTTTTTTTTGGATATTGCAGGGGCTTTATTGTAGAAGCGTACACAAAGACCTTTAAATTAATTATTAATTTGGTAGAGCCTTGTAATTGGTACAACTAATTTTTTTTATTTCTGGTATTAAGCGAGTGTTTATCGCTATATATAGGAAATAATGTATTTTTTTTAACATGCATAATTTTTTCTTAAATGTACTGAGAAGCAACAATCACCATATCGATTTCTTTAAAATTTTCTCTTATAGAGTCTCTTGTCTTAAAATTGTAAATTGATCGAACAGCCCGCTTTTGCAGCACAAAAATAGATTGAATGTCGGCAGCATTTCCCCACAGCAAACTACTCGTCAACCCGTAACATGTATTCCATGACACAAGCCTTACAGTGCTCACTAGGGGGCTAGGCTAATTGGTGTGATTATAAGTTTTTTTTTATTATTATAGTTTGAATCACACTTTACCTGGCGTCATAGGGTCCAAGTTGTCGATAGGTTTAGTGTGCAGGTAGTAGTGCTCGCACGGCAGTAACGGCACTTTAACCTGCGGCCGGCTCAGCTGGCCTACCTGTTACGTCATACAATCACTTAGAGCTAAATTAATTATAATATCGAACTAATTTATTATGGTATCAAATAGAATAAAAAAGTTCTTCGTAGAAGGGTAGACCGCTATGTTTGCCAATATCATCCTACCCGCAATTACTTCAATTAGCGTGATCATGGTGGTTGCAACAGTATCAAATTTTCGGAGACGCTAAAAACAAGGTACATGGTAGCAATTTCGTAAATAATATAAATTGCTGGCATGTTAGTGACCATTAAAGTTTAAATCAATATATCTAAATATTTTTATATTTAATTATTAAAATTATTAAAATATTTTTTGGTACTTATAGACTCAACGTCCAACCTCACCGTGGCGTACATAAATAAAATGGTAAAAAGCATTTTTTATGAAATTATATTCATTTTCATATTATTTTTTCTGATCCCTTTGTGACCAAATTACAACAAAGTAATAAAGCATGCCATGGAATCCAGAAGCAACTTCAGTATTATAATATCCCTAACCGAAACGTCAGTTTTTTACAATGTCCAAACGAAACTGTTGTTGAGCCGAAGGGTCAGGTCGGTGAATGAGTGACGGTATAGTGTGAACCAAACTTTATAGCCGTTGTGAAGTTAGCGGCAAGAGCAAGCAAGTTTTATTTCAATGGCACCCTATGCGCACCTAAAGTCTATAGTGCGACAAAGGTCTTAATAAATGTGAGTGACCGCTCGGGGAGGGTGCTGCTGTCTACGTAAATGGCGGCGTAAGGTCCAATTTTCGCCACATTAGTTCCTTGTCGCACTATTTACTTCGATTACTGCGCCGCGACCTACGTTAAGGCAGCGTACGCCCTAATTTCACAGATGTCATTAAGTTTGAAAAACTGCGAGTTTACGTGCCTGCCTGGCAAAGAAGCCTGCGCAGTTGACGAAGTAGTCGCATTCCACCGCGCCTTGCGTGGTCTCCACGCCCGACACGCGTCCATCTTTCGACAGCACCGCTGTCACCGCACAGTTCTCCATCACCCCGACACCTGGTGCGACCAATATCGTTAATTATGAGGAAAATACAAATTCTGATATACGTAAAATTAACTCTATGTAGGTACCTTTTAAAACGGCTTCCCTCAAGAGTGATAAACAGAATAAATGAGGGTCTCCCACCCCGTCGCCAGGTATGAAAAGGCCTCCGAGTACGTCTTCGACATTGAGCATCGGCCAAATCTCCTGGCATCGTTGTGGTGTAACCAACTCGCATGGTATACCCCATGAACTATCTGAGAACAAACACCCTCAGTTTAACCATAAAACGAAAGCAGATAATGAAAATTTAACTATAAAATGAAACCTACACAGACTGGCTCTTCATTCTCCTGTATACTGTCATGCGGTCTCTCGTGCGGGCCAGCAGCAACGAGCCGCATTGTTTCCACCCGGTGTTCCGGCCTCGCGCTTCTAGTTCCTGCAGTAGTCTAATGGACGACTGAGCGAGCCGCACTTGAGCCAAAGAGGGCTTGAAGCTGCCGACAAGACCCGAAGAGTGCCAGCGACTGCCGCTCGCGACACTGAAAACAATATAAAACTATTATACTCATACCTCAGATTCCTTAAGTTACTATGTCTCATACTAACTTCATCGGCAATTGATTGTATTCAGCGAAGGCGCTAACTTAATCTAGGGTATCGGTATTGTACATTTCGTTCAGGGGTCTTAACTAAGACCCGGCGCTGTCTGCACCGTAATTGACTATAGTAAATGCCGACCGTATTGAGTGCAGGATAGTGTACCTTTCGACTATGGTCGTGTGGCGGCGAATGCCACAAGTGGCGGACAATTAAATACGTACCGACCAACCATGTAAATGAACAATCGCAGACATTGTCATATTATATAGATTTACAACTGCTAGCCATACATGATATCACTTACTCATATAAGGCCCACTAGCTCAATAAAGTATTCACTCTTCCCATAAAATCTATTCTCCTTCCTAAGAAGTAGATTTGTTCTCACATTAAGTGAATTCCACTGAAAATTATTTCATAGTTTAACATTGATAACATTTTTTTTAAAACTTAGTTTGATTAAAATAAAAAAATCCTTAACAATAATAATAATAATTCCATTATATTCAATGCCCAAAGAAAGCAATCGCCTAGCTGCTGTCCAAATGTGTCCTAAAATTGCTACCTAAAAGTTTAATATTTGTTCTTTAAGTTGGGCATCTAAGGTCCCCTTTTTTATAATTTTTGTTTTTATAATTTGATTGAAGCAGAAAACAGCAAATGCGAAATGTGTCTTCAAGGTAGGCATGTTAATCTCAAACGATATTTATTTTTCAAAATTCAAACGATTGATTAAAGAGCTTGGACCACTACCCCAGACAATAAAAAGAATTCACTACTAAAATTTTGTAGTTCTATCTTTGTCTACCAGTTATTTTTTTTATTTGTTTTAAAATAACAATTGATCTGTACATACATAAGCTACCTTGTCATAGAACTTTGGATTATAGAACCCTGACACTGCAAAGGAATCAGGATGAATATTAAGTATAGAAACTAAAAGCCTGGTGACACTCTACACAAGCGAGCTATTCTCTGTTGCATAACTTCCCAAATTTTTTGAGTTAATATTCACTTTCTTCAATTGTTATAAGTTCTACCCTGGTGCCAAACTTGTTCCAATAAGTATTTATGATTTTAAACTCTACTCCTCTGCCTGAACCACAGATAGTCCTGAAATTCTATACCATTAATTAAACAGCAAATTGTTGATTTTGAGAAAAAAATACTATTATTAATGAAATGGAAAATGATCAAATCTGCTATTTCATTTAACAAAGTTAAGAATTTTCTACTGAAAATTGCAAAATTCACTCTATTGAAAAAAATATAGTGATCTGGTATATATATGACAAAAAATATTCCAAAATGTAAAGGATAATTTATTATTCAGGTCAACAAGATAAACAAAACACTGAAATAGATATTTTCTTTTATTTTTGATCATCACTCTTGTTGGGCTACTACCTAGCTACAATAAGAAAAATACAACATAAATGAATAATTATTATTGGGTAAGTTTGGTAACTATGTAACATGAGTGAGTAAAGAACAAATGGTAACAGATGGAGGAGGCTTTTAGCTTAAAAGAATCAATATCAGGATATACTAATAAAACTAACTTAGTGATAGGAAAATAACAATTCATTGTTAATTTTTATATAGTAGATATAATTTGTATACTTACTAATACACTAACACAAATTTGAAATTTAACTGATATAGAGTATACATATAGAGTAAACAGGACCAATGCTGATTTGGTATGTGAGGCAACTATGACCTGCAATGTTTGTGACAAAGGAAGCAACTGCTTTAGCCAGGCAAGAGGCAGGATGTGATGAAATGATTTCAGTCAGCATATACTGTATGAATCTTGTAATTGACACTCAACTGCTTGTAAAAATAGCATATCAGTAAATATATTAAGTTTGTACCAACCACTATAAATAGATACAATGTGCTAAGTTTCATGTTATATATTAGTTCAATAACAGAAACTATAAACTTTACAATTACTCATATTTTGACAAAAGCTAACAATAAACATCACCACTAATTAGTTTTTATTAACATTGGATTCAATCAACTCTTTTTATTTCAAATGATAATATACTTAAAGTAACATTATGGATACATACTTTTATTGCATTTCCATTCCAGTACTTAGACTTACTAACCTTTTAGGACTGCACACTACAAAAAAAAGCCTGTTTGTTTGATAAAATATCAAAAATTTCTATTTATCATAAATATAGGATATTTCTGAACCCTGTGCTTAGGAAGTGTATAATTCTAACCCTCTTTATGTTACTGCCAATTTAGTAGAATAGTTCAATACCCAAGAATACTTACTATAAGTATCGGCTTGATAGTTAATAATATTCATGATTGTGTCCCTTAGAGCAATAAAAAATGCTAAGAGTTATTGTCGCAGAACAGTGAACCCTATCTTGCACTATTGATTTTACAAATAGACAGCCTAATGCAAGACAGTTAGCTATATTGAACATCTGTTAGCGATAGTCCAGACAGACGCCATCGCTAATAACTGTACACATGTAACTCCATATACGCTGTCACATCACATCTGTATACATAGCATAACACGGTTTGCGGTCGATACGCAACTCACCATTCTCTCTCAATAAGCACAGTTTTATCTCCCCAGCCTCTTTCGGCTAAGTGGTAAGCCACGGCGGCCCCCATTACCCCGCCGCCGCAAATCACCACCTTCGCCTGCGAGGGCAGTGCGGTGAGGCATCCGTCCAACTTCTCCTCATGATCTAAAGCATACAATCGGGATAACTGTCTCGCACCAACGCCGAAACATTTATGTATATTTATACCACGAACTCCACTACAAAAACGCTTAGATAACATTATCACTTTAATAAGCACATTAAAATAAAGAAAATTATGATGCTACAGCTTTTGGTAAAAATTTACAGTCTATTTTTAAAAATACTAGTAGTCTCGGTGATCATTTTTGTTTTGACATTTAACTGACATTAAGAAGCAAGGTTGCCAGATGTAATTTTCTATTTATTGGTAGTAAAGTAACACGGGTCACATTCCGTACTTCCCTCAGGTAAGAAGTTTTCATTTGCACGAGCATTTTTTTAGATATTGTAGATAGGTTTTTTTAACGGGGGGTAACCATGGGGTAACTAAGGTTTTTTTTTGACGTGACAACGTCTTAAATTAGGTTGCGGCTGGGAGTCACTTATGAAAAAGTGTAACGCTCGGTAACGTTACGATGAGTCTCTCGTGTTAAGTTTAAGTTTACATGTACAATGTTTTAGTAAACAAAATATATTTCTATAGTTAAAATTTGTGCAATTCTTATTTTCATTCAATTCCTTGTTCCTATTGTGCAATTTAATTATATTCATATCAATAAATATTCTACCGAGAAAAAGACGTTGTCACGTAAAATCTTCGCCCGTAAAACCGACTTTACAGGCAACCATTTTTTTTTTTTATATTCTTTAAGTAAGTTTGGTAATTAGGTCTCTAATCTAGATCAATATTTTTTTACTTTTTGATCTAAGATTATATCTAGATACCTGCAATTGGCCCTTTTATAGTCAGGTTATGCTATTTTTTATTTATTTTACATCTTTATAAACTTGCGACAAAATAAGACCAAAATCTAGCATTCGAATGCTTAGATTAATAACTATTTATATACTATACTTTTGCTGTTAGAGGCACTATTTGACACACTATTTATACATATAGAATTGATAACGAGAAAAGTTCATTTTCTATGAGAACTATTATGGGTACGCCAGGTTGACGCGAGCTAACAATGTTTAGTTCAATATCTTTGGTACTTTAAGAGTATTGATTATGAAATTTTGTAAAGCCAGGGCACTATTTGCGAACTATTTTTGTGTGTCAATTTCGTTGCTTAAATATATGCCATTCTTGGGGTCGGCCATGGGTACGCTAGCTTGACGTCATGGTAGCGTACACAGTAAAAATGGTCTTTATTTCTTAAATTAAAGAGGCACTATTTTTTTATTTTTACACTAATTTGGCACTATTTACGCAGTATTTAATGGCATAACGAAAAACCGTATATTGATCATGGGTACGCTAGCATCACGGACACTTCAGTTTTGAGTTCATACAACTCAGCATCCCTATACTTCTTAAGGACCGTCTACATTAATGGCGTCAATTCTGACATGATTCCATAAACCTAAAATTTGATTTCACAAGTGTATTTTTGTCATTCTCTACACAGAATGACAAGGAGAGACTAATGTTTAATTTAAATTTAAGTTCAGAGAATCGACACCATTGGCGCGAATTTTTAAATACATGCCTCCCACGGGGGCCGAGGCTTTACAAAAAAAAATTGTTTCCATGGTTTCCATTATAAACTTCACAGTAACACAGCAAGTTACACAGCTACGCAGTAAATAAACACGGTAAACGGGTCTTGCGTACTTTTCTTATTTGAAATAGATGTTTTATTGAAATTAAGTATATTTAGGCCCTCGTTTACTTCTTTGTGATTATTTTTTTTTATAAATGTCTATTGTCGAAATAATTCACCACAATGAAAATATTTATACAATTTTGGACAAGCCTCCGCCAGAACCACCAAAAACACCTAGGTTGATATTCTTAAATGGTATTTTCCTTGATAGTAAGAAAGTATTTAGTTATCCCAGTCGAAATAATTTACCTTCTCAAATATTGTAGAAGCTAAAACTATAAAATCAATTCAATATTATACTTACTTTTTTTGCGGTTATTTTAACTGTTTGTAGGTGTAATTAGTACCAGAAACGTAAATTTCAAAGTAGGTAGGCTTAAAACTACTTCTACAGTGGTTGTACTATCATTCTACCAGCACAGCTCTAAAAGACAAGGTTTAAGTCATACATTTTCTTTTTTATTAGGTACGAGTCACAGTTAGAGAAGGAATTAAAGGAAAGAAAGATACCCCAACTTCGTCGGACGTTTGGATATGCAGAGACCCCTCTCAAGCCACCTGAAGATTTCCTGAAGAAAGGTCACGGTATTGGGCAGCCATTAAAGAAATCCGACCACAAATGTGTTGTTTCTGGCAATCTTCCACCAGTGCCCAAGAGGCCACCTCCAGGACAGGGTCCAGAAAAGCCGAAGGTCAACTTTCGTGTAGTCAATATAAAGAAAGCAATAAAAACTAAGCCAAAGCCTGTTCAACCAAGGTGATTATACCTATCGTATTATCTATGTAGGTACATTATCCTACTAATATTATAAATTACCCACATAATCATAAATGTGAAATAATATCATTAACGTAAGTTTGTTATTCAACCACGCAAACACGGCTGAACGAATTTGGATGGGATTTGGTATACATATATTTTATGATACTTTTACCTGAAAAATGACGAGTTCCTAAGGGATTCTCAAAAAACTAAAGTTAACGCAGATAAAAACGCGGACTGACGCTCGTATTACCTATGTTATAGTGAAGTTGTTATTAATTAACATTAACAACAATCTCTCTGCATACCACACCTGGGATCCGTATGCAGATAGATAAATAGATACTTATTAGTAATTCTATGATATCTTTTACTGTTCCTAAATTATTCGTAAATGATTATTAACTCTTTAACTCATGCGTTTAAATTAAGACCTTATGCTGTATTCCTTTTAGGTGACTTTCAATGTTTAAATAATGCCTAACATTGTTTTTAACTACGCGACCATCTTACGGAGCTCCGTGGATCGTCCGATGTACCTTTTGGTCAGTTTTCGGCCACGATTTTGTTCGTGGTGTTGTATCTAGGGTATTTAACGTTGCTTACAGTATCTTTGTCGCGCCTCTTCTGGGGGTCAATCGCCTAATGGAATTGCTACGACTATCGCTATAGCTTTCGGTTTTATTTAGTTATTTCTGACCGAAGTTTTTTTGTTTGATAATGTTGTTATCAATACAAAAGAAAAAAAGAGCATATGAAAACCCCAGAAATAACAAAATGATTAAACGTAACGTAAACGTTAGCGATAGCCATAGTAATCCCGTTAGTCGTTTGGCCCCCTGGTATGCGTTGGGCCGTTGATGACAGTCACTTAGTCGATTATTTCTCTGTCTTTGGCTTCTTCATTCAACTGTTATACAAAACGTAGTGTCCTTAAGGTTTTAAAAGCGTAAATCACCTTTAAACCATTCAATATATATTTTCTTCACCAGATTGGTGGATACCAGGGATGGTCATCGTAAAAATATAAAGGGTTCCGGCGAAGTGCCGGAGTTTTGCCTGAGGGCTGACTTCGGCCAGATGCCCGCGTACCTGGTGCGTAGGAACCGGCGCATCCAGCGCGCGCTCGACAAGATCCGACATGACGAGGAGACGAAGGAGAGCCTCTGTAAGCTCATTTCGGAGGAGGCTCGTCAGAAACTGTTGCAGGCGAGTACATTACTATTAAATACAGCAACTAATTAATATATCCCGAACTTTTGTAATTATCCAACCACCTTCTAAATGAAGAACACGCGCATATTGTTCGGTATATCAGGGTGTCCCAAAACTGAGCTACATGGAAGGAAAATACCTCAAATATTGTAAATTTGTTCCCATTTTTGCTCTATTTGACCGGATAACTCTTCAACAATGCACCCAAAAAATAAATGCCGGCCGTAGGGTTGTAGAGCATTAAATTATTTTCAATAATAGAAACAATTGCCTTTTTTTTTTATTTAAGGACAAAATTGTTAGGGTAGTGGACGTATGGGGGCGGTACGGTGGGCACTAGGCCGCGTACTCAGCCCCCACGCGCGGGCCGTCCTGCGCACGTCTGTGGGGTCCTCGCGATACCCCGGGAGAACCTCGGCAAGGCCGGGAGGCTGCTAGGTGCGGAGACGCGGAAGAATCCCTAAACGGGGATTTCGCGGCTTCGCACTAAGCAGCTTAGAGGGTGTTCGCAGGGTTTTTTAGCGGATATTATGCCGTAAAGCGCCCGTAAGGGTTACGGGGTCCTCAGTGGGCAGGCACTGCTGGGGCTCGTAAGGCTTGCGGGAGCCAGGTGTGAGGTCCATAAGTAAAAAAGAAAGTAAATTAGTGTCATTGAGAAACTGTAATTATCTAATAATAATATCTGTAATAATGATATACGCTCTTGAAAATCTGTAATTATAGAAAAAAAAATCGCTTTACATTTATGCTCTATTTGACCGGATAACTCTCGGATAACTTTTCAACGATGCACCAATGTCTAAATAGCACACATGCTCATTTTAGAATATGTACTTGTTGGCCCACTGACCAGGTTCTTCACACTTAATCCAGAAAATAAGTTAAAAAAAACTGTAAGAGTTAACTACTTTATGCAAAAAAGGTTATTATAAATTAGATGATTATTTAAATGATAAGATTGTCTGGTGTTGTATTGGTCCAACTCAACACAAAAAGTAGTATTAAGAATAATTAAAATTATAAAACAGGACATTAAAAAAAATTGAGACGGTAGGGCCCTGTGCCTCTGGTTTTTTTTCGGTTCTCATTGGCTATACAGGTACGAATACGGCAGCAGTTTTAGATACAATTCACTATGACGTGCAAAAAGAGATTTGTAAAAAAATCCAATATAGTCAATTTCTTGCTCTTTTGGGGTGGGAAGAACCTTGATCCTCGTCTTCGTTTACATTTTCATTTTCTGTGTCATCTTCTCCATCGGAACCCTGTAGGGAAACGGTCAGAGGATCCTCCTGTTCTTCTTCACCTTCGGAGTCAACTTGAGGGACCCCATTCAAGCAGTTCCCCTGGCAATTTTGGTGGAACATTTGAGGCATTTGAGGCGCTGGGGAACATTTGAGGCTTGCTTTTTTGCAGCCTCACTTCGCGCTTGCACAGTCTTTCGTGCATCGACAGAAAATCGAAAAATCATATAATAGGTATTTTTGGTCGTGAACATGGCCCCCGGCGGTGTAGACACCTACTTATTTAGGTAACGGCCAACACTGCCAGTTTTCTTACCGGGCGACGCAGGCACCCCCTTTAGTCAATACGTATACTACCCCCTTTTTTTATACGCAGGCAAAAAATACTATTTACAGACGACGGCGCCTTTAAGAGGCACACCGCCGAACGGACCTCACACCGGGCTCCCGCAAGCCTTACGAGCCCCAGCAGTGCCTGCCCACTGAGGACCCCGTAACCCTTACGGGCGCTTTACGGCATAATATCCGCTAAAAAACCCTGCGAACACCCTCTAAGCTGCTTAGTGCGAAGCCGCGAAATCCCCGTTTAGGGATTCTTCCGCGTCTCCGCACCTAGCAGCCTCCCGGCCTTGCCGAGGTTCTCCCGGGGTATCGCGAGGACCCCACAGACGTGCGCAGGACGGCCCGCGCGTGGGGGCTGAGTACGCGGCCTAGTGCCCACCGTACCGCCCCCATACGTCCACTACCCTAACAATTTTGTCCTTAAATAAAAAAAAAAAGGCAATTGTTTCTATTTTATACAAGATATCAAAAAATTTGACTGAATAAGACTTGTAGCAAATTTAATCAGCTTTCACTTTTGTGATAGTCTCATGTCGCTAGGATGCATAGTTTTCGAGATATATGCGAAAAACCTAAAAATGGGACCTTCAAGCCCCCCCCCCCCCCCTCCCCCCGGCTTAAGGGCTACGGGCGGGGACTTTTGATATGTTTACCTCCTAACTAGTCCTAACAAAGTCACGAAGTCAAAAATTGTGTTCCAAGCATTTCCCTCTATACCTGTTTTTGAGCATTCGTTGCCTGGACTATTACATATAGTTTGCATTATACGGAAATTATCCCTCATACGGGTCAGCCCGCAGTCGCAATAATAAATGAAGCGTGTATATGGTTCCAGGATCTGAAACAGAATTGGCAGCTGATGCAGAAGGCATTCCTGCAGCTGCCCATGCTCACGGACACCATCCCAAAAATCCTCAAGAAGACTAAGATGGAGCAGGAGCTCAAGCAGCTGGAAAAAGACATCGCCCTAGTCGAGAGCAACCCCTACATTTACATTTACGAGTAGTAAATAATGAATCTTTCAATTACATAAAATTACTCTTTGCTCCAATTTGGTAGTACCGCAAGAAGTAGAACACAGCATTAAACGGTTTCATTTTAATTTAAAAAGGTGTTTTTGTTTTTAAGGTAATACACAGTCAGGTCATAAGTCACACAGTCAAAACTTTTCTTTTAGAATGCTGGCCACAAAAAATATTTATTGAATTCAAATTTTTCATGAAAATAAAAATGTATACTTTTAAGAATTTTACTCATTTTTAAATATGGAGTAGCTTATAGAAGACCCTGTTGCAGTTATTGCGTTGCATCGTTGCGGTTACGCGCCAATTCAAATTTTTGACATACTGAAAAAATTTAATATAACGAAAAGATTCGTTTATCGTACCATCAAACGATACAATGAAGACTAGTGTAGATGACAGGTCAAGAAGTGGTTGCCCTCGCTCACCTCGGTCTGTTAGGACTCCAGCAGTGATAAAAGCTGTGAAGGCGCGAATTCAAAGAAATCCCAAACGTAAGCAGAAACTGTTTGCCCTTCAGATGGGGTTAAGCAGAACCACGGCGAAAAGGGTGTTAAATGAAGACTTAGGGCTTCGGGCATATCGAAGAAAGACAGGACATCGTTTGAATGCTCGTCTAATGGACCTGAGACTGAAGAGATGCCGCGCTTTGTTGAAGCGGTACGCGGGAAAAAAATATCGGGAAATTCTTTTTTCGGATGAAAACATTTTTACCGTAGAAGAGAGCTACAACAAACAAAATGATAAGGTGTACGCACACAGTAGTGAAGAAGCGAGCAACCGTATTCCGCGTGTCCATCGAGGTCATTTTCCATCCTCGCTCATGGTATGGTTGGGAGTTTCTTATTGGGGCTTAACAGAGGTACATTTTAGTGAGAAAGGTGTAAAAACGAATGCAGTTGTGTATCAAAATACAGTCCTAACGAACCTTGTGGTACCTGTTTTTCATACCATGTTCAATATCAATAACAGGCACTGGGTATTCCAACAAGATTCGGCGCCAGCTCATAGAGTGAAGAGCACACAAGACTGGCTAGCGGCGCGTGAAATCGACTTCATCCCAGTACAGTAGCACGAAGACTGGTCCTCCTCCAATCTAGATTTGAGTCCGTTAGATTACAAGACAACACTTGGAGGAAAAGGCGTGCTCAACACCTCATCCCAATTTGGAGTCACTCAAGACATCCTTGATTAAGGCAGCCGCCGGCATATTGACATGGAACTCGTTCGTGCTGCGATAGACGACTGGCCGCACAGATTGAAGGCCTGTATTCAAAATCATGGAGGTAATTTTAAATATTCTTTGTTGAAGTTATACTTCTTTAGGCGCGTTCTGAAAAATTGTTGAGAGTGAAATTTTAAGATGCGCGCGCATCATGTAACACAAAAAATTAACACCATGAAGTTGGTCGCTTTAGCGACCAACTTCATGTGCCGCGCTGCCATTACCGCGTCGCCCGCCGCACCGTACGCATGCGCGGCCACTGGCGGTCCTAGCGCGGGAAACACGTGCAACAAACATCGGGAAAAGTTACGAGTTTTGAATTTAGAACAGAGACTGTTTTCATATCTATATATACACACATCAAAAGTGTCTAGGGATCAAGCATTTTTATGCGGATTTCTTGAGATTGAGATGTGGCTTTGTAATAAATTTATGATTTTATAAATTTATATGGATCCTTTTTGGTGCATTTCATAATTTGAATCAGGAACTGTGAATCAAATTCGAGTAAAAGATGAAAATCAGCTGTCAATATTTTCCCTATAAAAACATACAACGCATTGAAGACATTATTAGTGCTACTGTTTCCCTACTACTGATTAAAACCAACGTTATTATGGAGCGGCGACGTCATTTAAGCAGGGAAGAAATGCTCAGAGCCGTGGGAATGATAGAAGCTGGTTCCCGGCAACGTACTGTGGCTTTAGCTCTGAATACAAGTCAGAGTGTTATCAGTCGACTTTGGACACGATACCGAAGCACTGGTGCCGTGGCTGAGCGCCATGGAGGACGGTATCGCTGCACCACACGGAGACAAGACCGATACATTCAAATCTTAACTCGAAGAGCTCCAACAATAACCGCCATGATGTTAGCCGTGAGGCTTCATCACTCTTCAGGGAACTTAATTAGCGACCAAACAGTCAGAAACCGCTTGCATGAAGTGAACCTTCATTCCCGAAGACCGCTACGGGTACCACCTATAGCAATGCACAATCGTAGGATTCGATATCAATGGGCTCTTGAACACAGAAATTGGGCAGAAGAACAATGGCGTTTCGTGTGCTTTTCTGATGAGTCTCGTTTTGGTATGAGACCGGATACAAGACGTATACGACACTGGAGAACCCCTGGACGCCAACAGCGATTAAAATCCTGCCAGGAAGTCCATCCTTATAGTGGTGGAACCATCATGGTATGGGCGGGTATTTGGATCGGCGGAAGAACTGAGTTGATTTGGATCAGAGGCAACCTCAACGCTCAAATTTATGCTGAGACGATTGTATCAGACGTCATCGTTCCTCTACAAGTGCAAATCGGTCCCTTATTTCAGTTAATGCATGATAATGCACGACCGCACACCGCAAGAGTTGTAAGACAGACTCTCGCCGCAGCTAACATCAATGTCCTGCCCTGGCCTGCTCAGTCGCCAGACTTGAACCCGATTGAGCATGCATGGGATATGCTACAGAGAAGAGCTCTGCCGAATATGGAGGGTATCCAGTCGCAAGAAGACCTTTTTTTGTTGTTGCAACGAACATGGGCGGCCATTCCACAGCGTGATTTGGATGAACTCATTTTGAGTATGCCAAACCGATGTTCTTGTGTTGTTAGTGTTCGCGGTAGAAATACGGATTATTAATTGTTTAAGTTACCCAATAAAATTTTAGAGAAAACTGTTATTTCAGTCTTTTTTTCGAACTTTTGTGTTAGTGGTTCAAATGTCAAAAATCCCTTTATTAGGAAAATGGCAAATTTCTTTATTAATGCAAAGGTGACTTGGTTTATCGTTACTGTGACAAACGAAAACACTTTATTTGATGAATCCTTAAAGAAAATTTTAATTAATATCAATCAGGAGAAAAGTTATTGCAAAAATATATGTTGATCCCTAGACACTTTTGATGTGTGTATAAAAATGAAACCCGTTTTCCGTTGTCACGACATAACATGAAAACGGCTTGACCGATTTGGCTGTTTTTTTTTTGTAGTTTTCTAATACTCTGTACAAGGTTCTTACGGAAAAAAATATAAAGAAAATCCCAAGGGGATAAAATAAGGAATGAAAGTTTGTATGAAACTTTATCAATTTTAAACCGATCGGGCTGAGACTTTGCATGCAGGTATAAGAAGAATCATAGATGAATGTCATTGTGTATAATACAAGCCTGAGAACAAAAACTGTAGTCTACACTTCAGCTCTACACCGAAGCGAAGCGAGGGCGGGCCGCTAGTTTATAATATTTATCCACATGTTTCTAGTTTGTATATTCGGAATACGTGTTTGAGTTTCATACAAGTGCAAATCACATATCGTACTAATATTACAACAGTGTTGTAACTCAAAATTTATTGTTTTTCAGAATCAAGGAAAAACTGATTATTCACTTTTTATTACAGATTATAAAAAAAATCATTCTGTATGTGTTTTGACGTGACAACGTCTTAAATTAGGTTGCGGCTGGGAGTCACTTATGAAAAAGTGTAACGCTCGGTAACGTTACGATGAGTCTCTCGTGTTAAGTTTAAGTTTACATGTACAATGTTTTAGTAAACAAAATATATTTCTATAGTTAAAATTTGTGCAATTCTTATTTTCATTCAATTCCTTGTTCCTATTGTGCAATTTAATTATATTCATATCAATAAATATTCTACCGAGAAAAAGACGTTGTTACGTAAAATCTTCGCCCGTAAAACCGACTTTACAGGCAACCATTTTTTATTACAGAATTTAAAAATTACGGGGACTAAAGTTATTCACATTTTTTGAGTTGATACGGTATAATATCGAACAAACTGTTCAAAATGAAATATTATTGAAGTTATGCTTCTTTAGGCGCGTTATGAAAAAATGATGAGAGTGAAATTTTAAGATGCGCGCGCATCACTGTAACACAAAATTTTTTGTTAAAATTACTTTTGTGTTTACCGCACATTAAGAAAATCTACCAACAAAATAGAAATAGAATCTCTATTTAGTGGGTGCTAACGACTGCATTGTGAAGGCCTATCAAAAGTATTTATTAATCTGGAACAACGGAACCAAAGCGCGATTCAGGAGACTACAGCGCCATCTCTTGACCATTGGTGTAGTAGAACCAAAAACCACATCTTTATTTTTTGTAATAAAGTAACAGTTATATGTATTCATATTTATAATATTTATCCACATGTTTCTAGTTTGTATATTCGGAATACGTGTTTGAGTTTCATACAAGTGCAAATCACATAATATGTTCTAATAAATTATATTCAGTAGCGATTTTAATTGAATATTTTGATTATTTATTTATTTTTTCAAATTAAAACTGAACTTTATTGACTTCGTCCTTTTCCAGACTTTTTATTAATTTATTGTAATTAATTATTTGCATGCAATTAAAAACTAATTTTAGACGATGCCAAAGAAGGATAACTTCTCACGCGCCTACATAAGTACACGCACCCATTTTTTGTCATTAGAATCTATGTTTTGTCAAAGTTCATAAATGGTTACATAATGAATAACCTTGTTTCAATTATTTTATATTAAGCATATGACAGAATTTATGACCTGACTAGGTATAACAAAGACATCCTTCATTTAAAAACATCATTTCCTCTAGTGACAGTAGTTCGATAAAACTAGTTTTTTAATACAGTTGCTCAAAAAGTGGCGCATTGCAGGGACGTGTAGCGTTCGGGATCTGGGCTATTTCACACTCGTGCTTTTTTTTTGCCTTTCCCGAACTCGTGCGTTTTCTTTCCCAACTGTCAAAATTATTTCTATTAAAAAAAACAACCATGAAGTTTTAACTAAAAAAAATCATAGAAGTTTTTGCGATTCATGCAAATAGGTTTATTTGTTTTTAAAAAGAACCTACCTATACTAATTTGTCCAATATCAGAATTAATTAATTG